AGACATATTGAGCAGAGCTTTTACTGACACTAACTGTATGTGCTCTATTTTATCCTTTTTGATGGGGACACTGAGTCAGAGCTCATCTGCTAAGCTTTATTTATGTCCTTGTCAAAGCCACCTATGGAGCTGGTCTACCATAACCCTCTCTAAGATAGAAAGTATTCCTAGAACCATATCTTTGTGTTCCTTTTGTGTGTTTGCTTTGCCTTTTCAGATCTGCATTAAGTTGTTGGAGAGGATTCCAACTGAACATGGTTCTCCTGGAGGTTTCTTCCTGTTAAAAGGGAGTTTTTCTCTGGGATTGCTGCAAAATCAACGATATAATGAAAGCAACTGTCCTCAGTTGCTACCTGCTTTTCCATGAGTGAATACTACAGTCAATTACTCCATTTGATGTGTTGAGTTTCCTTATATAGAACATTTGTTATCAATTAGATTTTATGCTTTCATTGAATCGACTCCGTCAAGTTTCTTAAGATTACATGGGTCACAAACTGACGCTGTAAAGATAAAATTAATTTCATTAAATGGCACCAGGAAGGTCCTGTGTTTTAATAATGGTCCGGTTCTCTGTGCTCATTAAGTTATTTTCCATGGCTCTGTATTCTGTGTGGTGGTAAGGGCACAATATCGCAGTGCCTGAAGGATACATGACTATAGATCATAAATATGCTTCCAGCTGTATTTCAAGAAATGTTAAAAAAAGCAATAAATAAATAAAACCTTGTGATAAGAGGATCTCCGTTCACCCATGTCCACTCCCTTGTCATAGCTGGGTCATGCAATCCAATCCATGTCAACCTGTTAAACTGCCTTGTAAAGTCCTTACATGGAAAATGAACAACCAGTGACAAAGAAAAAAAGAGATTGATTTCAGTAAGTTTTCTTTGTGCTTAATAACAATTTTATTTTAAGCTAAGAGACTTTTACCTGTTCCTCTTTGTTGTTTATGATCACCAGCTCAGCGCCTTGTTGCCTGCAGTACTCTTTGCTCTCATGCCAAGTTTTCTCGGTGGAAGATATATAATACAACCTGTCATGGAAATACAGCCATCCTTTCTGGAGATACTGCCCTAATATGGGGGGGAAAATAGCTTTTAAGATACCATAAACTAACAGGTTTTGCACCAATATGTTACTACTAGACTCTTAACACTTCCCATTTATTTCATTGTGGTAACACTTACTAGTCTGTTGCCTAAGTTTGCATGTATCTCGAGTCTTATTTCTGCAAATTGTCTCTTCCAGAGGGGTCTGAGCTCTGTCTGAAACATAGAAAAAGTTATCCACACTTTAAAAACAAGCCTCTTCTTGTGGTGTCAGGTAAATATTAACACTATGTAAGCGGTTGTGCTCATTGTTAGAGTGTAAACGTATATGTGTTAACAGGTTGTGTTTTTCCCTCTCTGATGTGGAGTCTTAAGGGAACTGTTTTATATAAAAAAACAAAAAGATAATTGCAAATAGAAATATATTTAATGGAAGATTTTACCATTTCACCAAGTAAAATAATATTAGTATTACTGATTTGCAGCCACATTGGCAAAATCAGCACCATTTTGGTTCCCGTTTGGACATTGTAAAGAAGATGTAGAGTAAGGGATGAAGATCAGGAACCTAATAATACTGAAAGAAATTAGGCTAAAAACCACATGTAATATTCAAATACTTCCAAAAGCTGTCTTTGACATTCTGTTTGTATGTTTTTTTCTATACTTAGTGTGGATTCCATGCAATAAGCCCTTTGTAAGTACTGTATGTAAACCCATTATTTGTCCCTACGGACTACCATTTTGTTCCTTTCTGTATACTATATTTATACATTTAAACAATTCATGTTTTACCCATCAATCAAATATTGTGTATTTTCCCCTCATGGTAATTGAATTTTTCTTTTGAATTTTTTTGAATTTTTTGAATTAATTGAGAAAACAACTACTAACCATGAAATAGTTTCATCCTCATGTATAGATCAATATTTCATTTAGACCCATTTATCCTTCCAGAGTTGGGAATGATTATTGCAAATTTCTGGATTCAGGAGTTATGTTTTACATGGTCAGGCTCTTAGTCCATTGCAGGGCAACATAAAGACACTTTCTCATCTTGCCATCTGTTGAGGACCATGTGTTGACTTCCATTGACTTTTAGT